ATTGAAAATCTTTGAGATATTTTTATGTTGTAAAATGTTTAACATTTATGAACAGAACGAAAATGTGGTAGAAGAGAATGTAAACAACGCACAGAAAGTTTAAACTAAAATTAAGATAAGCTCATGTACTGTAACTACATAAATCTAACATTTTAGATAAGATAAATGAGAGACTAATACAGAAATTTAGATTAAATGTGCAAAAACATCTTTATATTTGATTTAAAAACTCGATAGAAGTGATGTTATCACAAGTAAATACAGAGGCAGAATAGTTAATACAGATAATATGGGGAAATTAATAAGAGTTTCAGATCTTTTTAAGGACTGTTTTATTGTAAGTTTTCAATACCTAACCAGAATAGTTTCAGAAAGGTAAAGCAACAGACGACTAAGAAGAATAAAAAAGGCGAAACACGTAGTTAACCGATAATGAAGACCCTATAGTTCCAAGCCTTTGGTCTGTCTATTGTTTCAACGGATTATTGAAGACATCTTTGAATATCCAAAGAATCTGGGTTTGTAATCAATGATATCCTCCCCAACTCACTAATTAATTATTTCCAAAAAGAAAAGAAGTTAAGCTTGATCTGCACGATAACCTCACGTGACCCTTACCAAAAGCTGCTCGCTAAATGCAGGCAAAAAAGCGCTCGTGCCGCTGGACGCGCCCCTGATGACTTACGCGGGGTCAAGGGGGGGAGGGGGGGGCAAAACGACACCCGCGAGCGCCCTAATAGCAGCGAGGCGCTACGTCGCAACACGACCGAGGAGCCCCGCCGCGCCCGCGCGGCGCAGGTGGGAGAGGCGTCGCTGCGCGGAGTTAAATAAGGAGAGAATAGAGCGGGAACACGCGAGAGATATACGCGGGCATAAAGCCTATCAAGGAATTAGCGGTGAACGCCCAGGCGAGCCGTGTAATGGCCGGCACGGGGGAGGAATCTTGCGGCGCCCGACAACGCGGGACGGGGCGACCCGACGGAGTGGATAGGTGGACAAGATGGGGCGAAGTGGGCGGGATGTGGCGAGGAAGCGGGGAGGGGCGGGAAGTGGCGGCGTATGCTTGGCGAGGGGTTGTAGCGGGACGGGGGAGAGGCAGGTGAGAGGTGCGGATGGCGGGAGAAGGGGGCGGAGAGGGGGGAGAAGCGAGGGCGTGGCGAGGGGAGGGGAGAGCCCGGCGAGGGGGATCACGGGGCGGGGCGGTGGGAGGTCGGGAGGCGGGCGGGGCAGCGGGAGAGATCGGGGAGGGGGTGGCGGTGACGATAAGAGGGAAACGGGGGGGGAAGGGAAAGGCGGAGTGGGAACGGGGAGGGGCGGGGTGGGACGTGTGGAGAGTGACAGGGTGGAGGGAGAGGTTGGGCGGAGCGGAATGGCGGGGCGCGGGCGAGCTGCGGAGGCGGAGCGCGCGTGTTGCGGTTTGGCGGCGTGATGCAGCATTTAATGAACGCCCGGCAGTTTAGTGAATGGGATGAATAGAGAGCGAACAGAGCTGTAGTGGATGCAGGAGAGGAGAAATCGCACGACGTTATAGGCCCCTGTGACAGTTTGCGGGGCTATATTTTTCTTGGTTTTAAGTTATCGTTCACACCAGCAGCAAACACGTGGGTACACCTTTTCAAGACACAGATATCTACAGAAAGGGAAACGAAAAATGAATTCTTAGACGATTGTTTGATTGCCAGTTTTAATTTACATCAGTTGAAAAACGAGCAGTACTAAAGAACAGCGTACATTACGACATACGATTGTCATTATTCTTTCGTTGTATAAGGAGTTACGTGTCACATAATTTATCATTAAACTTCAAATGATTCAGATGTAATGTTAAAGATAATATTACATTTTGACATAAATATGTTATGCTTTATAATATACCCGGTTGTGTTTTATAATATAGCGTTCTCTTAATAATTCGTAAATTCAATGAGAAGGTCAGAATATCTTAGTTGAGGGTCATTGCATACATGGCACTCAACAACTCCACCCCTCACACGCACGCGACGCGAACACTGCAGAAATCCCGCCGAATTACTTCCGCGCGGCACCGCGCGCAGCCGACCAGGAACCGGCACACGCGTGCGCGAGGGAGTTTCGTATCTAATTTGGCGGGGGGAGCGCGCGACGCCCGGCAGAAAAGAGTGTTTTACGACGGGTCACGGACCCGCGCGCCGTTATGCGCACGAGCGGGGGCGCCGCTTTCGGAGCAGCCCACGTCCCTCGCGGCCGCTCGCGTCCCTCCGTCCGTCCGTCTCTCGGGGCGACGTCTTCAAAGCGCTTCTCCATAAAGCAATCGCGGGGCCCCGCCCGGCTCGCGCGGTCGCGCGCTGCACGCACGCGCGGGGGCGAAGAAACGAGCACAAGAGGCGAGACGAGGAGGGATGTTGGGTCGGATCTGACAGGGACAGAATAGGAAATGGAAGAATGAAAAAAAAATGCGGTGCAAATGTCCGGCCCTTCTACATGAATGCCCTTGCATGAAACGAGTTTAGTTAGGAGTTATCGGGGGCTGGTAGCGTCGTTTGTTTCCAAAATGTAATCTGTACAACGCAATAATTTTGTTTTGATAATTTTTAGTTCAGCAAAGTACAGCTTCAACCACCAACTAAAATACAGTTAAAGAAGTGAAGTGAAGTAGAAAAGATGTGAAGACGTGACGTAAATAAAGGCTTAGTTTTTGAAGAAGTAAATACACAAAAACTAATTAGTCTCATTGTTTAAATAGAATTGATGATGCCCCTTATGTTGGGATAAGAACTAAATTAGATGATAAATTTCTGGCCTAACAAGCTTCACTGAAGGTGACCATAACGCAAAAGACCATTGCTGGTTTTCCACACTTCTTCAACGGTGATAAATAGTTACTAATCGCTAATAAATTCATGTTGTCGAAGATGTGAATAATTTCATCTGAAATAGATTTTAAAAACAGCATTAATTAATTTTCAAAAGTACTGAAATCTACGAACGCTCATTATTGGCGAAAAAATTGGAACAGTGATGTTGGGATGGATAATATCAAAGAGTATGGAATAAGGATGAGCAACGGGAAAAGGGGGACATAATTCAAAAGAAGGCTAAGCGAAACAATAAAAAAGTTATTTGCAAGAGCAAAGTTAGGTAAAGAAGAGCATACAGAAACAATGATGTTGGGATTAGAAACTTCAGAACGAGATCAACAAAATGTTAATGCTATTTTCATGGAGGGCATAGCTCAAGTGAATCGCGTGAAAGCACAGCGGTAGTACAAGGCTTTCGTTAGAAGTACTGCAAAACAAATTGTAAATGGAACAAAAGACGGGAGATATTACGGAAGCGATGGCAACATGATCATTAATGAAGTGAGAAAACGAAACTATAATCTAAAGTTTTTCAAGAATATTATTACACACCAGTAAAAACACTTAGTTTCGTAAAATGACGCCGAACAGATCAAATTGTGTTTCTTTCATTCTTCTTTGCCATATGAGAGTAAACGAGATGCGAAGCAAAAGTACCTGACAAAACTTAATAAAACAAGATTTCATCACGAATCGGAGCAAACCACAGTGGATTAACTGCCTTCAAAGGAATACAGACCTACGTTTTTACTCCACGTAAACATAAGATTTTTCAATTCTAATTTCTTATACGAGAGGCCAAAAAATAATGAAATGAATAATGAATTGGTAATTGAAATATATGTAGGATTTTATTTCTTCGAGTTGTGCTATACAAAATCACAAAAATCTTACATGCCAATCGAGGAATTGATTTAAAGATACATTGATATTGCTAAGGAAATGTTTTCAAACAAATTGCAACGAAAACGTAGTACTACAAAAATAATACAGAAATAATACTGCACAGTCCGTGCAATCCTTAAATCGTGTAAAAACTCATTTTTTTCAATATTTCCAAACCATAATTTTCAGAAAAGTAATACTGAACATTGCACACGTAAGCTTCCGCGGCTCGATTCCATAAATTCGTGGCTATCCGGGAGACGCCGCGTCGTTGGCTGAGTGGCCGACGTTTCTCCTGACATGTCGCAGGCTTCCTCAGGGCAGTGACGTTACATGTCAGGCGAAACGTCGGCCACTCAGTCAACGACACGAGGTCTCCCGGATAGCCAAGAATTCAAAACTGAACATCGAATTCTTTCCACACCTGGCTCTCAAGAGCCCCACATGCGAGTGAATTTGTCCCCGGGGCGAGCAAGGGCGTGACCGCGGGGCGGAGCGCGGGGCGGAGCGCGGGGCGGAGCGCGGGGCGGAGCGCGGGGCGGAGCGCGTGGGCGGATGCGCGGGCGGGCGCGGGAGCGGAGCGCGGGCGGAGCGCTGGCGGAGCGCGGGCGGAGGCGCGGGGCGGAAGCGCGGGGCGGAGCGGCGGGCGGAGCGCGGGGCGGAGCGCGGGCGGAGCGCGGGGGCGGAGCGCGGGGCGTGAGCGCGGCGGCGGAGCGCGGGGCGAGAGCGCGGGGGCGGAGCGCGGGCGGAGCGCGGGCGGAGGCGCGGGGCGGAGCGCGGGGCGGAGCCGGGCGCGTGAGCGCGAGGCGGAGCGCGGCTGGAGCGCGGCCCGGGAGGCGCGGGGCGGGTACGGTGGCGTCGGGAGGCCAGGGACATAATTTTCAGAAAAGTAATACTGAGCATTGCAACACATAAGCTACCGCGGCTCGATTAACATAAATTGCTTGCCATACACGCAGAGCAACGCTCGCGTCGTGGCTGATTGGACCGATGTTTTCGTTCTGACATGTCGCAGCTTCCTCAGAGCAGTGGACGTCACATGTCAGGCGAAAACGTCCGCCACTCCGGCAATAAGCGGCGCTCCCGGCTAGCAAGAATTTCAATACCTGAACATCGAATTCCTCTCTCCAACACCTGGCTCTCAAGAGCCCCACCTGACGACTGTGAATGGGCGCGCGCGGCACGCAAAGGGCGCGACTTCGCGGGCGGTTAGCGCGGGGCGACGGGGCGCGTGCGGGGTGCACGGTGGCCGGTCGGGACGCAGGGGCGGGCTCTTACTAAGGGCTAACGGGCGAAGAGGCGACCGTGACCCGCACGCCGTCACGTCGCCGCCGCGCCGCCTGTCTCGACGCCCGGGCGCCGCGCGGCGCACGGGCGGTTGGCGGCGCGCCGTATAAGTCCGGCCCACTGGCCGCGACGGAACGGCGCGCAGCCCTCGGCCACTCGCCCCGAGGCGCAACTCTGGGAAAGGGCGGTGCAGGGGACACACGCCAACACCAGTTCACATGCCCACTTATAGATAGCAGTGTTCCCAGGTCTGGGCCGTGATTTTGTTTATTTGTTTATTTTACATCCCTAGGCGTAAGGGTGGCGAGAATTAATCATTTCCATCACCGTATCTAGCATATTTCGCCTGCCTGCTAAGCTTTTCTTTCGTCACACAGCTATAGAAACTCAGACGATTGTACTACAAACCCAGCATCGTCTCACAGAAAGCTAGCACGCTAATTAATAGCCACCCCAGGGGCACTAATAATAATAATAATGATAATAATGATAATAATAATAACAACAATAACAATAATAACAATAATAATAATAATAATAATAATAATATGTTTTTATTATTTGTCAGGCTCACGCATCCTTCCACCTGCCCGCAAAGGTGAAATAACAAGCGAGGATATAATACAATTAATATACTTTTTTGTGATTTTCATGTGGGGAGAGCTGTTGTCAATGCTTTTACGATGCTTTTTTCCCTTCAATTTTCATCGTTAAATACCTTCTTTCAAGGACAACAGTTTAATTAAGGTGCATGCAATCACAAGTTGCATATTGCATTAGAATTTCAAATAAAGTTGCTATTGCATTTTTTTGTAAGAGCGACATTGTCAAAATTTTGTTGTTTTTTTTCTCTCTCAAAAGAACTGCTTCATTTAACTTGTAAATTGTGAAATATTCTTCTTTATATAAAAATAATAACCAGCTGAACCATTGGGGTTACATCGCAGAAAAGGAAGAGCTATAGAAAAGTTACAATCAAAAAGTTCTATATACTTTTATTATGTAAATATAATGAACTACCATACAGAAAATTGAAATACCCAAATATTTTCTTTCGTGTTATTCTCACTTCCCAAAACTGAAATGAAGGAAATTTACAAATTCTAGAATAATACAATAATACAATCACTTTTTTATTGACAGAATTATGTTTTTACGATTCTAAAGTAAACATGAGTTTGCATACACAAATATTTTTGCATTGCCGCATACATAACGGGAAAACTGCACAAATGTAATTTTCTCGGCGAATTTTGAACGAGCGCCAGTAACACTCACCTGTCTTTCTAGAAAGTACGCCTAGCAGAGGGTGTGTAGTACAGTAAATGCGGAGGTGTGAAGCATGCAAGAAAGTCTACATCGTTTCAGGCAAGGAGAAACGCGGAACGTCAAACGGGCATAGGGGGGAGGGTGACGACAGTGGGCGGGCCCCAAACCTTCACACACTTGGCGTGCGTGGAGGAAACGGGCGTAAAAGCGCCAGAAGTGGACGTAGATAAATCATCCCCGCTCGCAGTTAAATGGGCTCGCAGAGACAACAGAGAGAAAGTGGAGGCACAAGACGCAGCGTTCATTGAGTGGAGGGCGCGAGACGTGGCGCGCATCAAAGGGGCCCCTCATCCGCGCCCGCGCGTTACCCCCCTCCCCCCCCCTCGCCAGGCACGCACGCACGACCGCACGCCGCCGGCTGAAAATACGCGTCCAGACGCTGCCCACACGAGCAGATCCTCGCCCACCTTCCCCATCTCCAAAGGTCGGCGGGAGGCTACAATTTTGGGACTTATTATCCCTCTGTGAAGCAGCCATCCATTTCTAGGAATTATGATTTACCATTTTTTTAGAAATCACTTGAATTATGATGATTATGCGTAGAGATCTTTACGTTAAACATGTATTCTTAAAGTATCCCACACAGTTACTGTCTTTTCATTACGCTAAATTGCCAGCCATAATACGCCGTAATTTTCTCACGTTCAAGATCATATAGAAAGTATTAAAATTGAGAGTCGAAGCAAAACCCATTTCTACAGTCTCAATTAACTTTCTGAAACGAGAAGAAAACGTTCTGTTGATCAATTTAGGAAAATAACGTGGAGATTCTCGAAGACACGAGAGGAGAGGGAGAATGCAGGGAAAATCATAAGAAGGGTGAATGTTATATGACTTATCATTTACATTAACAAATGAGTGTCTATTGTCGGTACTGCCATTTTCAAAATTTAATTGCAATCGTGACATCCTCAATGTACAGATAAAATGAAATTGTTCGGGTTAGCGAAATACACAAATGTACGACTTGTGGAAAATCAAATGTGTAAGATAGGGGTTAAATATAACAAATTTGAGATATCAAGAAATTTGTTACAAGAACGTATTTATGACTCGTATGACGGATACGGATCCAAAAGTCAAGACGATCAGCATCTTTAATAGTCGGGACCTGGTATTATACATCTCAGGTAATTGCAAACATACGCTCTTAAAGTATAACATATTATTACATCATGGATGTCCTAGGAGTTAAAAATGATGCCACTACAGCAACCATTTATAGCTATATTCTAAAAGGTTCCAGACAAACGAGGTATTCAGTGGAATAGCTGTTTTGTCACTTGTAGCCAGAATAACCGCAGGTTGCCGCAGGTGCCGAAATGGCGTGGCAGGAGAGAGCGGCGTCAGGCGCGGAGATCAATTTGTCTTCGCGGAAGGGCAGGGGCCGATCGCCTGATAGAGCGCAATTTGCGCTCGAGAGGAACTCCCGGGGCGGCGGCGGCGGCGGCGGCGCAGGGGAGGGACGCAGCCCGGTAGCCACCGCGCGCACGATCCGACACGCACCGCTGGGCGCGCAAAGGCACCATTCAGTGCCTCTCAGTGGACCTCCAGCCCTCGCTTCAGGCCGAACTGCTCCCGATTCAACCTCGGGGGGAATCCGGACGCTCCCGCTACTGGCCGAGCCGCTCCCGCTTCAACCTCGAGGGGAAGCCGGACATTCCCACTCTCGCTACTGGCCGAGGCGCACCTGCTTGAACCTTAAGGGGAGGTCAGACACTCCCGCTCTCTCTACTGGCGACGCCGCTCCCGCTTGAATCTCAGGGGGAACCCGGACACTCCCGCCACTGACCGAGCTGCTCCCGCTTGAACCTTAGGGGGAGGACGGACACTCCAGCCCTCGCTACTGGCCGAGCCGCACCCGCATTATCTTCAGGGGGAGGCCGAACGCCCCCACCCTTATGTCCTCACTCATCTAACATGAGCCTCGCAATGTCGAGCAAGTGTGATCATTTATTAGCTGCTTGGTTGACCGGGAGACGATGAGACGATTCGGTAAAAATTATATCTTGCTATAATGTTGATTTCTAGTCAACATGGAATATATACGATTTCCGTCTCGATAATTTTACGTCGTTCCCTAATTGTCGCTTTCTTCACTGAGGCCGCTTTGACATGCACTATATGCGAAAAATAGACAAAGTAAGCGTTTGGTCGGACTACTGTTTTCTCAATCACCTACTGTAAGCATCACACAATACAACATTCGTTATGTGTCGAAAATGTATCGCAATTATTGAACGAACCGTATTGAAGGAACATTGAAATAGTTGTTTTATATGACAGTTGTGAAAATGCTATTACGTAATACTTGCTTTCGCCTAATGACTCTTGATTCAAAATCAAAGTTTTCCATGTCTCTTACAAATCCTTTTATTGAACTGAAAACTTTTATTGAACAGACAGACCAACCGATTAAATCATTTTTGAAATCCAAAGTCATCTATAAGTATTTTTAGACTAGTAAAGTGACTCATGAATGTATTTCAATAATATGACTAGACATATATGTATTATTTCTAATGTTTTACCTTTCTTATTCACTCAGTAGTATCAACCACCTCCATTACTTCAGCTCTTAGCAACAACATACAACACACTTAACGTAATGTCACCAGTTAAAAGCAGCGCTTATCTAACACGTATCAGTTTCCTCTTTATTGCAATGTACGTCGTATGTATCCTGGTACATTTGAAACGTGTTTGCTCTTTGTGCCAGCCGCCAAGACATTTTCTCCTTTCACGGTAGCCGTCTGCGAGAGGCGTCATTTGCGTCAAGTGCGAGGTTAACCGACCGCCGCCACCGTCGCTGCCGCGCCAAGTGCCGTCGCGTGGCGCGTTCGCTTTTGTTTTGCCCCTGGCGGCGGCGGCGGCAGCGGGGGCGGCAGCTGTCTCGCGCTAAAGTGCCTCCTCACGCCTGTCAACGCCGCCGCCGCCGCCGGTGCAGCCACCACCCCCACCGCGTCGCCGCGCTGCCATTCATCTCGTCGGGCCGCGACGCGCGTGGTCGCGAGAGTGAGGCGAGAGGGCGCGCTCCGCCAGACGCACGATCTCGGGCTGCGAGGACCTACGGGCTCAAAGGCCGACCTGCGCTTCTGGGCATCTCCGACGGATGAACGAAGCGGGAGGCCCATCCCGCACAACGCCCAAGGAAATATCAAAGATCCACGGACGGGGCGCCGTTGCAAACTCTGAGATTATTCGCTCAAAACCTTCTTTATTAAATATATTGGTTGAATTCAGCAAATGGGCTCTCCAATCGATCAATTAATACACTGGAACACATAACGTTTACTGTGCTACACAAATAAATTATTGATCAGACATAGAAGCTATTTCAGTTTCGAAAACTATTCTGAAAACTCACTTGGTTCGACAGATAAGTTTTGTGTAAAACATGCGCGCCTGTAAAATTACTTTCCTACTCAGGTGTATTGGAGTCATATTAAATGTACTGAACTGAACATCCATTTCCAATAATAATGTGTGAGTATCAGTGGTGAGATACACATTGAGGGATCTGACAGGAAATAGTTAATGTAGCAGAAACTAGTTGACACAATGATAACACGATGCAGTGTTGTAAAGTAACAACACGACAGAGTAAGTGAGCCGATATATGGGCGAGATATCAAGGCACTGCTCTGAGACTAAAAGAGAATGCTCAAACACACAAAAAATGGATAGTTTAATGTAAGTGAAGGAGATTTCTTTCGTTGAGTGAGTGGATATAGATATATTACGACGTGATTATCCTAAATGGACTGGAAAACAATTCTCCCTTGCGAACAGATAAAAGATAGTTTTAAATATACCGAATAAAAGTCAAAGTGACACTTTACATCCTGTCTTAGTGCACACTCGTATGCTAACGGAGAAGCAGATTAGCTCAAGAGTGCATGAGCTCAGACGACACTCTCTTTGCGAAAACGTTCAATGGAGAGGTTTGCACAGGAGAGAAAGCAAAAGCGTTAATGGAGGCGAAATGGGAGGGCGACAGATGACAGAGATCTATTACGATAAAATGAAGGATACGTGACAAATGATTGAATTCGTTTTTTGCTAGCATGTTTTTGCAAGTGGCGTACGATGGAGTGATAGTTTGCCGGGTTTCCAGTTAGCGTCGATGCTGTTTATTGCATAGGGCATAGGAACGGATCAATAAATTATCGCTCATTCCTGCAGACATCGCTACATCAACCAGATGGTAGGTAATTTGGAAAGTCATTTAATCCTTAAATCATTGTGAAGACTTTTTTCTTATTATTGATAAATTACGACAGTCGAAACTTCCATGAAAATTACATTCAGGATATACTGTAAACAAAAACATCATATAATGCAAACACAGTCCAATTAAGTGGTCCTATTGACTTTTTCAAGGATAAATATTGATTAAACACCGCTCCAATCATAGCGCCATTCATTATAAAACACAAATTATGTACAAAATTGAAAGAATCGAATGCTTAAATGTTATTCTAACTACAATGTCCTGGTTTTTATCCAAATGTTTACTTATCAATAGTGCAAATTCACAGACTTAACTTCATCCCAGTTACATAAATTTATAAGTTTGTATTCAGAAGTATTTTAACAATAAATATAATGTTTCATATTAACCATTTCAAATAATTATAACACATATCTTTGTATTCGTTACCTCACATATTAATAATATATAGAACACATTTTTGAATGTAAAACATCGGCTGGGTTTTTTGAAACGAGATTCCGTTATTTTTAATGCGCACTCAGTATTCGATGCGCTCAAAACGGATTGCCAACCCTTGATTTAAACGCCCAGTTTCTTCTCTCGCAGGACCAATATTAGCAAACGCCTTGTCAGCCGTCAGCGCGCCGAGCAGCGGCAGGTGGCCGCTGAGTCAGCGCCTGCCCTCACACCCCGTGAGCCCTTCTGCGGGCGAACAGCGCCAGCCAGCGCCCGCTGCT